TCCTACTCCTCCTCCTCCTCCTCCTTCTCCTCCTCCTCCTCCTCCTCCTCCTCCTCCTCCTCCTCCTCCTCCTCCTCGTCACCCTCCGACAACATCGGCTTCCCAACAGCCCTTGAGGCGCGTTCTGAGCGGCACTTCGAAGCCACTTCAGCCGTGGCGACGAGCGCGAGGGGCCCTCTCCAACGATCCAGCAAATGAGGACGTCGAGGAGCAAGAGGAGGACCCCGCTCCTGCGACCGCGACACAGACCGTGACAAGGACGACGACCTGCGACCAGAGGGCCGTGGCGGGTCACTGCCGAGGCGACGAGGAGCCCCCTGGAGGCCCAGAAGCAGCAAAACAGACCCCGAGCCTTATGTATCCTACTTAAGGACCACATCCCAAAAATAATTTCGAGCACCCGGAAAAGCGTCAAAAGAGCGTCGAAACAATGTCGGGCGAGTGTCGCCCAAGGCCCGACACGTGAAAACCCTTGAGTTTCGGTACTTGTCCTGGCGCTCGAGATTCTTCCTGGTGATCGAGGCTAAAGTAAGTTGGAGCATCATAGCCTGAGCCTCGAAGATGGGTCCTGGACCCCTCGCCGGCGACGACGGCGACGTCGACGACGGCAGCGATGACCACCACGGGCGGCAGTGGCCTGCTGCTGCGCAGAACGGACCCCGAGGCTCGAAGACGGGTCCTGGATCCTCCTCCTCCACCTCCTCCTCCTCCTCCACCTCCTCCTCCTCCTCCCCCTCCTCCTCCCCCTCCTCCTCCCCTCCTCCGGCGGCGACGACGACGACGACGTCGACGGCGGCAGCGACGATGACCCCCACGAGCGGCGGTGGCCTGCTGCTGCGCCTGCTGCTGCGCCTGCTGCCTCTCCTGCAGCTCCGCCTGCTGCTGCGCCTGGTCCGCCGCGGCCACGGCCTTCGACGGGGCGGGCAGACCGGCGCGCGCACCGTCTGAGCAGGGACCGACCGTCCCGGCATCCCTGGAGTCCTACCACGAAATGTCCTTAGAACCCAACACTGTTCCAAGAACGAAAACAATGTTCTTAGAACATTACCCCGATGGTTTAAAACAAGACAGTCCCAGCCAGAAATGCTCTAAGAACATGTGTGGAAACCACAAAAGGTTCTTAGAACATTGTTTGGTAGGGTTATAGGAGAGCCAGGACGCTTCGCCACTGCTTGAACCGTGGGTGCAAGGACATCTCCTTGATCGAGTGGTTTTTCTGACTACCTACCAGACCACCCAAAAACGAGCTCCCGAATTTCGGGTTGGGGGGGGTACGGGTTCCCAGGTGTTTTTTCAACGTTCCCCGACCCCCCCCCACTGGAAATCGAGGGTCAATTGAGGCCTTCGGGTTGGGCTGGGGTGGTTTGGCGGGTGGTGATTTTCGCTTGAATCTCGAGGTGCAGGGTTCGTACATACCTCTGCCTGTTCGTGTGGGCGGCCCTCGCGGGAGCGGCGGCGACGACGAAGAAGAGGCGGGCCCAGGAGCTGCCCGTGGGAGGGGGGGGGGGAGGGGGGGGGGGGGGGAACGGGGGGGGGAGGGGGAGGGGGAGGGGGAGGGGGAGGGGGGGGAGGGGGAGGGGGAGGGGGAGAGCAAGGGGAAGGGGGATGGGGAAGGGGAAATGGGAGGGGGGAGGGGGAGGGATGGGTCTGCCAGTTGCTTCGCTCTCCCACTGCTTGAGATCTGAGCCTGGTCTACTACTCGAGCTATCTTCGAACAGCTCGTCTGCGACGGACCGGCCCGACGAGGGCAGAGCCGGCGGGCCAGGGCCGAGAGAGGGGGTCACGACAAGGCACTGGCGGACTTCCTCTGGGATGGGAAATGGTGGAAGCTGGAGTCGGGAGACTGGTGACCAGCGCCGGAGTGGAGGCGGAATCGGAAACGGCACTGCCGAAGCTGGACTCCGTTCTTGCCAGAACTCGAGATGCGACCTGGAGTCGGAAAAATAGATTATACCCCAGAAATAATCAAACAATAGTCCAGAAATGGTCTGGGGACTATTTTTTGACTCTTTGTTGACCTCTCTGGAGTATTTCTGGTGTCATTTTCCTTTTCCGTCGAAAACCCCCCCTGTAGGGGGACACGCCCGACAGGAGGCTACACTCCAGAGACGAAGGGGACAGACGAGAAGAGCCAGGCAGGACACGAGAACGCCCTCGAGCCTGCAGGGCGCACCCACTGAGCAGGCACGACCGTATGGATGGAGAGGCCTCCCACACAGGGGTCCGAGAAGATGGGATTGGAGGGTCGCGCCGCATCGCCGATGCGTCGGCGGTCCTCCTCCTCCTCCTCCTCCTCCTCCTCCTCCTCCTCCTCCTCCTCCTCCTCCTCGACCCCAGTGGGAGAACCAAAAAGCACCGATTACGCTGCTCCCCGGACCTCTCCCTGGGTGCGCTCTGACAAACAATTCGAGGCGGATCCAGCGGCAGCGACGAGGGCCTCCCAGGAGACCCCAAAGGAGAAGACGAGGCGAGGGTAGCGGTATTCAACGATGCATCGACGACGCGGGGCGATCCCCCGACCCCAGCGGACCCCATTCGGGAGGCCTCGAATACTGCAGCCTCGTGTCGTGCCGACTTCGGCGTTGATTTCTGACACCGTGGGGATCGTCCAAATTTGACCGATCGGCCGTTCCCGAAACGTCCCATCGTCCAACATCGATCGATTCTGGGTCGCCAGCGGTTGGGCGCGAATTTATGGGTGGGCGATGAATGGGAGGGAGGAGAAAGGTGCCCTTTTCGGGCCCTAAAGGTCCTCTCTTGGAACCGAAACGGCCCCTTGAGGGGCCCCAAAGGGCCCCCATTCTGCAGCCCTCGCTGCCCCCTCATGAATTCGCTCCACAAATAATTCGCGCCCACGGCGGCGTTCAACGTGGAACGCCAGCGGCGGGGTCGCCGCTGCTCGACACGACGCGAACCCACCTGGCACCCCCGCCTTCCACACGACGATCACACGACGACGATGACGACGACTCAGCTCAGCTCAGATCGCTACTGCCTCGAAGCCACTGCGAGCGTGGCAAGCACTGCAGCCGCCAAGAACCGCCCAAAAGGCACGACGACGACGACGACGACGACGACGACGACGACGACGACGACGACGGCCTGGCTGGAGGCCACCTGGGCGGCTTGCGCTTGAAGCTGCTTCTCCCACTCGACCTGCCTCCGCATCATCTGGGCAGCGAACTCCTCCGAGCCCGTGAGGCGGAGGCCGTCGACGTCGTCGTCGTCGTTGTCGTCGCGGCCGTGGCCGTTGCCGCCGCCGTAGTCGTCCAGTGGCCGCCAGCGCCGCCACCGCCGCCGCCGCCGCCGTCGGCGCCGTCGTCGCCGCCGCCGCCATCGTCGTCGTCGCCGGCGTCGTCGGCGTCGTCGTCATCGTCGGCGGCGTCATCGTCGGCGTCGTCTGGGAACGGGGCATAAGACACATGGGGACGGGGAGATGGGAGGGAGCGCGTTTCACAGGTGCTTAGCTCGAAACCAAGAAAAAGGGCCCCTCCGCAAGCGGGGGAACTCCGCCCACACAGGGTGGGGCACCCCCCTTGCGCCGGCAAACGACGACGACGAAGACGACGACGACGACGAAGACGACGACGGCGATGTCCTCAACCTCGAAGACGAAGACGACGACGTCGACCTCGACGACGACCGCGACGACCAACGACAACGATCCAGATGACAACAACCACGACCTCGACGATGACGAAGGCGACGACGACGATGATGACGGCGACTGCGACGACCGACGACGACACAACCTCGACGACGGCGGCGACTGCGACGATCGACGGCTTCGACGACGGATCCCGACGACGAGAAAACGACGACGAACGCCGACGACGACAACTACAACGACGACAACGACGACGACGACGACGACGAGCACTGAGACGACTCCACCGACCTCTGCGACGACGACTGACGACGACTGACGACGACGACGACGACGACGACGACGACGACGACGACGACGACGACGACGACGACGACGACGACGACGACGACGACGGCGACGCGACGATCACGACGGCGACGGCGACGGCGACAGGCGACGGCGGCGGCGGCGACGCATGCGGCACATTGAAGCCGTCGTTCAATCGAGCGGTCGGATCCTGACGGGCGGACTCGGGAAAGAGTTGGGCGCCCGAGTTATCCGGGGTAACTCGGGTCCGGGGTAACTCGCGTTTGGATTCCCGAAAAAGGAACCCGAGTTATCCCTGACCCGAGTTACCCCTGATGATTCGGGGCTCTGGACGCCCGAGTTATCCCGGGTAACTCGGGTCTGGGGTAACTCGGGTTTGGATTCCCGAAAAACGAACCCGAGTTATCCCTGACCCGAGTTGCCCCTGATGACTCGGGGCTCTGAAGGAGGGTACGCCGCGGCGCGCACCCGCCAGAGCGCGTCCGCGCCACCGGCGCATCAATCGCCTCTGCGCACCACGGCACCTAAGGGGCAGGTCCGGCGCCGACCGTGTGGGCAGGGTGTCCCGCTGCAGGGGTCGTTCGGCCGTCCGCGCCAGGGCGCCCAACGCCGCAAAAGAAAATGCGCTGGCACACAAACTCTGCCATTTTTTGGTCACCCCTGAGCCGCCCCGAAGGCACTTTCAGAGTCCCTGCGGCGCGCGCGACCGTGCGCGCCGTGCCGGCCTCCGCAGGCGGACGGCCAGGCCGGCGCTCCCCGCCGGGCGCGCCGAGGCCCTCCCGCGGCGGGGCCTCCGGCGGCGGCGGGCGGGGCGCTCCCTGCAGGCGAGCGGGCCGCGGCGGAGGGGCGCGGCGGGCGGGCCTCGGCGGGCGGGCCGGGCGGGCGCTCCGCGGGCCCTGGGAAGGACGGGGCCGTTTTTGTTTGTTGCCGCTGCCGTGTTGCCGTTTTTTTGTTGTTGCCGGTTCCGGTCGCCGTTTATGGTTGCCGCTTCCGTCGCGTCGCCGTTCTTGGACGGGTTCTCCCGCTCCGGCTCCAGACCCTGGAGCCGTGTCTGTTGCCGTTTCCGGTCGCCTCTTTTTGCCGCTTCCATTTTCAAGGGACACTTTTTCGGAAACGGTGGAAAAACGGCTCTGCCGTTTCTGGGGGCCACTAAGGGCGGGCGGGGCCGTGGGGGCTCGGGGGCGAGGAATTACCCACATCCACCGCCCGGGAACCGACGTCCTGATGCCCCCGGCGGGCGGTGGACGTGTATGGACATGTGTTGGCCTCCGGGGGCCCGAGTGTCATGCATACATCCGCGGCCCGTGGATGTCCGCGAAGAGCGATCCCCCAGGCGGCAGGCCATTCGGCGGCGAGCCCAGGGGGGGAAGCGAGAAGGGGCGGGCCTTCTCGGAAGGCTCGGAAGCCCCCAAGCCTTCTGAGAAGTTTTCCAAGCCTTGCCCGAAGCCACAGGAAGAGCTTCTCAGAAGGCGCGAGGGCTCCTGAGAAGCCCCGCCGCCTTCTGAGAAGCCCTTCTCCTTCTCATTTCTCGGGAAGCCACAAGTTACCGATACCGCTCCTCTACGGACCTCTCCCAGGGTGCCGTCTGACCGGAATCTCGAGGCGAATCCAGCGGTGGCGCCGAGGGCCTCCCAGGTGGCCCGCAGAGGGGAACACATGGGAAAGCTACTCCAGATTTCGTAATAAAAGGGAGGGGGTCTGGACCCCCCAAGACAAGCCATTTCAGACCCCCCCCCCGTGGGAGAACCCTCCAAAACATCGTCCCCAGACCCCCCCAGGCCCTCCCAGATAGCCTGGAAGAGACCCCCCCCCGAAATGAGACCCCCTCCCTCTTATTACGAGACCTGGAGTACCTTCCCCTCCTCTGAACTTCCCCCCTCGCCCGCCGCCGCCTTGGGGACGACATATCCCCGCCTCGGCCCGAGCGGGCGGGCGGGCCGCCCCGCGAGCGAACAGTGTGCGGGAGCCCCGGCGGCCCGACGACATCGGGCGGAAAAGCGCGGGAGCCCCGGCCGCCGAGGGGGCGGGCGGTCATGTGCCAGCGAACCGGGCTGGGTAGTCGAAGCCGATCTGGCGCCAATCTTAGGGGGAAAACAAACCTACCTCGCTTTTGACCACCCTCGCTTCCAAGAGATACCAAGCGATGCCAAACTACGGCCTGTACTGGTCAGGCCGCTTGACGAGGAGGCGCGTGGTATGACTTGGTTTTGCCTGGAAGCGAAAGCGGGGTATGTAATTCACGCTCTGAAATCTGACGGGCCCAATCTGGCAAGCGAGGGCAATCTGGCGAGGGAGCCAGCGCGAATCCAGTCTGGCGAAGAACCCAAATCACCCAGTTTGGCCAGGCCAGATTGGCCCTTGGGGCCCAATCCAATCTGACAGTCTGGCCTTCGACTACCCAGCCGGGGGACCCCAACGGGCGGCGGCGCCGTCGCCGTCGTCGCCGTCGTCGTCGTCGCCGTCGTCGCCGTCGCCGTCGCCGTCGCCGTAGTCGTCGTTGTCGTTAGCGTCGCCGTCGTCGTCGTCGTCGCCGCCGTGGTCGTCGGCGTCCTCGGCCCTCGGCCCTCGGCCCTCGGTGGTCGTTGCAGTCGTCGCTGCCGTCGCGAAAAAGGGCGGCGGGGGCCTGGCCCTCCGCGCAAACGCGAATGGACGGGGGGGGCCCTCCGATGCCAACCCCAACCCTCTGCTCTGAGAGGGGGGAGGGGGGGGCCCGGCTCCCTCCCTCCCTCCCCCCAGGCGACCACAAGAGACGCTCTTCCGGAGATGGATGCTTTGAGCTTCTCGGCTTGGGGGCGGGGCACAGTCGTAAAATACCGGTGTGGACGTTGATCGCAAGGCCCGCAGCTGTCATGGTAGCAATCCCAGCGTTGCCGCTGCACTACGTGGTGGCCGGCGTCATGGGAGCCACCACACGCTTCGACGGGAACCCTGCTCCGGGGCGCGAGCGAGACACAAGCAGCCAACATCAAATCAAGCACTCGGGATGAATCGGAATGTGCGTCGGACAGGGCTGCATCGGCCCAGGAGTCAGACCAGAATCGACCAAGGTCGGCCGCGCCAGTACGCCCGACAGCACCATGCGAGCGCCGGGCCACATCGGATCGTCCCAGACATGCGATGCCGAGATTTTCGCAGTAATTACGGGGTTCCCAGATGTCCCGGCCCTGTCCCCATGGGCCGGCGTTTCATCCCGAGCAATTCTTAGATGGCCCCGGGGCCCCACGAGGGCCACGGAAGCTGAAAACAGCCCAAAACCTCCCGTCGCGTTTTTTAACGACGCAGACATGTCCGGGGTCGGAACATCGGAATCGAGTCGGACAAGGCCAGCCAGAAGCGATCTCGAGTCGGATCGGATCGAACGGGGGCCCTGCGAGGCGCTGCGGGCGGTGATCCTCCTCGCGCTGCCGCATCAGCGACTCCGCCTGCGCCTTCGCGCTCTGCTTCGCCTCCTCCGCCTCCCGCACGCGCCTCTCCAGCGCCTGGCAAGGCAGGGAACGGCGAGAAACTCTGGTTCAAGAAGGGCGATTTCGACGGCTGTTTGGGCGCCTCTGGTCAAGCTGGGGGGCCTCAGGTCTGGCTGGGGGGGCCTCAGGTCTAGTGAAGCCAACCTCGACCAACGAACCCTTCTGGCAGCCTCCGATAAGGGCTGAGGCGGTCCCCGGCGCAAGGAATGGTCGTGCTGCATCTTCGAAGGACCTTGCACGCCCCGTCCCGCTGCTATCCGCATCGAATCCATGTCGGATACATGTCGACCTCGTCGAATCCGCGTCGAATCGACGTCGAATCCACGCCAAATCTGCGTCCAGCCGGCATCGATCCCGCTCCAGGCACAAGAAAAGACACCAGTTATGCGACGGACGAGGCGAAGAGGCAACGTAATAAGGGGGGTCAGCTCCGAAAGGGACGGGATGAGCCAGCATCGAATCGTCCAAGGGGATTGAGCCAAGAAAATGTGCGCCGGACCAGGCTGCATCGGCACAGGAGTCGGGATCGGGCCGGATCCGCCGCGCACGGATGCACAACTAAGAGGAAAACAAACCTACCTCGCTTTTGACCACCCTCGCTTCCAAGAGATACCAAGCGATGCCAAACTACGGCCTGTAGTGGACAGGTCGCTTGACGAGGAGGCGCGTGGTATGACTTGGTTTTGCCTAGAAGCGAAAGCGGGGTAGGTAATTCACGCTCTGAACAACAGCGGAATGCGAACGCAAGCCCGTATCGGATCGCCAACACGTCGGAATAGCGTCGGATCGAGCCTGCCGGAGTCGATACGCCTCGAAGCGGATGGATCGGATCGGAATGGGCCCTGCAGGTGGTCGGCCAATCCCTGACACGGTGTTGGGGGCCCTCCTCCTCCTCCTCCCTCCCTCCCTCCCTCCCTCCCTCCCTCCCTGCTCGCTCCTCCCTCCTCGCTCCTCGCTCCTCGCTCCTCGCTCCTCGCTCCTCGCTCCTCGACCCTCGCTGACCCGAGCTCGGGGGCTACTGTGTGCCTGGCCTGGAGTCGCGACATTGCCCAGGCTGACCCAGCTGAGCGATGACCCAGGTCTGCGTGCCCCACAAATCCATAGCATGCATCAGCTCCGGCAGCGGCGATTCCGTGAGCGTCACCATCACTGTCATCCCCGTCGCTAGCTGTCATCGTCGTCGTCACCACCTTTAGCATCATCATCATCATCATCATCATCATCATCATCATCATCATCATCATCATCATCACCACCACCAACACCACCATCATCATCATCACCACCAACAGCATCATCATCATCATCATCATCATCATCATCATCATCATCATCATCATCATCGTCATCATCATCGTCATCATCATCATCATCATCATCATCATCATCAGAATCATCATCATCATCATCATCAGCATCAGCATCAGCATCGTCATCATCATCGTCATCATCATAATTAGCAGCATCCTCATCATCACCATCATCGTCATCATCAGCAGCATCGTGGTCATCATTATCCTCATCCTCATCATCACCATCAGCATCAGCTTCGGCATCATCATCATAAAAATCACGTTCGCCACCGTCATCATCGTCATCAGTAGCATCATCATCATCATCATCATCATCATCATCATCATCATCATCATCATCATCATCATCATCATCGTCATCATCATCATCATCATCATCCTCATCCTCAGCATCATCATCAGTAGCAGCAACCTCATCATCATCAGCAGCAGCAGCATCAGCATCGTCATCATAATCAGCATCAGCATCATAATCATCATCATCGTCGTCATCATCATCATCATCATCATCATCATCATCATCATCATCATCATCATCGTCATCATCGTCACCATCATCATCACCACCATCACCATCATCACCGACACGTATCATTGCTGCCGCCGCTGTCACAGCATCTAGCAAAAGACGCGGACAGCAGAGGGCGACGACCAGCCACGTAAGCGAGATTGGGGTGTAGACACCGAGTGCCGAACACATATTACCAGGAAAACTATCGGTTAAGAAATGCGGCCAACTTCCTGGAAGTTCCTTAAAACAAACTTTGGGCAAGGTTCTGATGTTCACGCTGCAGGGGCGAACGTGCTCAATGAAGACTGGGCCAGCTTTCGGGCAAGCTGGCCGAGAAACGCTGGTCCCGCCTTTCGGGAGGAGGCCTCTGAACCAGATGCTCGACTGCAGCCTCCTTGCCTCCACTGCCAGCACAAGCGGTACCGACACACGCTGCGCGCTTGCCGGAGCGCCGAACCAAAGTGACGCACATGTCCGACGCCGGCGGCGCTCGGGGTCTGTCAAAGCGGGGAGCACGGGCTCATGGAGCCACTCCAGCATCCTGGCCCCGGTCCAGGCCAGGGCATTCGCCGAGAGCTCCGAACAGCGAGTGCTGTGCAAAACCAACCACTTCCGCTGTTGGGCAGGCCCAAGTGGACAACGTCCGCGTTCGTCCCAAATGGGCAACGTCCGCGGCCACGCCGACAACGAGTCCTGCTCGGAATGGGCAGGGACTGCTGTTAGTCTTCGTCCCCCGTTTTCCCGTTCACATTTTGATCCTCCCCGGTGCCCGATGCCTTGCTCCAGGAGCGCGTTTCTTTATTTTCGGCGAAATGGGCATTAGAAGGGGCGGGGGGGAAGGGGGCCAGGGATAGGGGGGGGTATCGTGTAACGCCTCCCCCCCGCCGGGTGCTCGATGCGCACGGCGGCAGTGCCCGGAGCGCACTGGGGGAGGAGGCGCGTTACGTTATAGGGGGGGCGGGCGGCCGGGGGCGGCCGGGGGCTATAATGCCCATTGTGCCCCAAGCAAGAAAAACAAACACGCTCCTCGGGTGGGCGCCGAAGGAGGAGGAGGAGGAGGAGGAGAGGAATGGGGGGGAGGAGGAGGAGGAGGAGGAGGAGGAGGAGGAGGAGGAGGAGGAGGAGGAGGAGAGGGAGGAGGAGGAGGAGGAGGAGGAGGAGGAGGAGGTCGGGTGGGCGCCGAAGCGGAGCGAGCCAGGAGCACATCGCGAACCCTGGCCGGCCCGCCACGAAGCAGCTCCTGGTCCAGGATGAGCAGAGGGCTGTGCACAGTGGAAGCCCGTCCACAAGAAGCCTTCCACAAGAAGCCCAACCCTGAGACCCCAGGACGTCCATTGACTTTTTTGCGTGGGAACGTCAAACCTTCCGAAAAAACATCGAAACCCAAGAAACCTAGGGCACCCTGGAGGCAAGCAGGGTGTTTCTTGGCATGGGCCCCCACTGTACGCCATGACAATGAACACTCTAGCAATCCGATCATTGAATGCAAAATGCGTTCCATATGCTTGAAAAATGTTTTAAACCTGCTTGCAACATGTGCTTTACATGTTTTGAATATGTCTGAATAACCGACTTCCACAAGCAGAGGGCGGGATCAGTCAGCATCGAATCGGGAAATCGGATCGGATCGGAGAGCGTCAAGTCGGATCGCGTCGCCACGGAGTCGGGAGCGGATCCAGGATGTGCACCGCAGCGCAAATCCAAGCATCGGGCCGCCTCGGATCGACGGAAAAATCGGACTTGACTCGGATCGAGCAGGCCGAGATCGACATCGAATCGAATCGATCGGATGGAATTGAAATTTGGCAAAGGGATTTCGTCACGTGGTGCGAAGTTCCCCTCTTTATCTCCTCCTCTTCCTCGTCCTCCTCTTCCTCCTCTTTCTCCTCGTCCTCTTCCTCTTAGACCGAATCCCCTCCTCTTCCTCCTCCTCCTCCTCCTCCTCCTCCTCCTCTCCTCCTCCTCCTCCTACTCCTCCTCGTCCTCCTCCTCCTCCTCCTCCTTCTCCTCTTCCGATTCGCATCACGAGGCGGATTCAAGTCGCCGAAATTGGGCCCTGCTGGATGGTGGGGACGGGTGGGGGGCGCTCCCAACCCCAGGTCAGCCAAGGGGGGGTCGGCTCGGAGGGGACCGGCTGAACCCAGTGGCGCTGACCCCTGGAACAGCAGGCGCATGTAATTAAGAAACTCTCTGCCAAAGAATCGGTCCCCGGACACCTCCCGAGATCGTCCAAACACACAAGAGTTCCGCGCTGCGTCCAGCCGTGGCGACGAGGGAGCCCCCTGAAGGCCAACTACCACTGTCTCAAACAGCCCTCCTCTGTGATCTACAGTCGGACCTAGGACAGAATAACATCCCTCAAGAACATGAGACCTCCGCCAGCCAAAATGAAGAGCACTCGAGGGTGCCCTCCCCCAGGATGCACAAGAACATCCAACAAGCACGAAGAACATCAGGGTACCCTACCCGAACCGACCTCGATCTTACACCTCGGTCCGACTGCACTCTGACCCCATCTGGGAGGCCTACATGTACCTCCGTCCCGAGCTCGTCGGGGATCTTCTGGCCCGGGTCAGTCCAGACCTGGACCAGTCGGGCCTTGCAGGATCCGGCAAAATCCTGCAAGACCCTGCAGGATCCGGCAAGATCCTGCACCCAAACCCGAGTTTTGGACGCCCGAAATGGGTACGGAAAAAATGGGTACAATGCCCAACAACAAATATTGGCCCAAACCAACAACGGCCGCCCTTGGGCAGGCGGCCTTCTGTCTCAAATGGACACAGGCCGCGGCGGCGCGGACAGCGAGTCCTGTTCGCAATGAACGGGAACTGCTGTTGGGCACCGTGCCCATTCTTTCCGTACCCATCTCGCTCGTGCCGACGAGCCAATGCGACCCTGGCCCTGCAGGATCCTGCAAGATCTGGCGCTCTGGCCGACCCCCGTTCGCATTGACCCCGCCCCGATGCTCGGCGCCTCGGCGCGCTCCCGGCTGGCCCGGAGCTCCTCCTCGGAGGGCCCCGTGCCTGGCGGCAGGGGCGCGCCGGCGAGCGCGGCACGCGCGCGCTCGGCGCGCGCTGCTCGTCACCGGCCCAGTCGCTTCCGGCCACGGTCGCCTGCCCCTCGCTCACTCACGCGCTCACGGCGACCGTCGTCGCCTGCTCCTCCTCCTCCTCCTCCTCCTCCTCCTCCTCCTCCTCCTCATCCTCCTCCTCATCCTCCTCCTCATCCTCCTCCTCCGCATCCTCCTTCATCTCTTCCTCCTCCCCCTCCTCCTCCTCCTCCTCCTCCTCCTCCGAATCGGTCTCCTCCTCCCCTTCTCCTCACCCTCCTCTTGCTCCTCATCCAGCATCCTTATTTCCTTTTCCTCCATCCTCGTTCCTTACCTCACCCTCCACAGCTGCTCAACATGAATGCAGGTTCCCTGTCTCCCCGCATCATGTTCGAGCGGCGTCCGTCTTCTCCCGCATACTGTTGTTTCTTGCGTATGGGATTTCAAAACGGCGCTGCCGCTGCAACGACGGATTAATTTTCAGATCGACGCTTTGTTCCGTCTCTCAGAATGCCAGTCTCGCCCCAGCGCAGGCGTCAATTCTGGATCCGAGTCCTTCATCGTCATTGTCGCCCGCTCCTTTCTCCTCCTCCGCTTTGCACTGCTCATTGAACGCTGCATACGGATGCCCAAAGTCCATTCCAAAACCAGAAGAGGACAAACAAAGAGGAAGAGTGGGCTACGGAGGCGCCTAGAATGAAAACCGCGCGGATACACACTAAGGTATCTGGGCGCTGTCCCGTGGGGCGTCACAAAAACGCCACAGGACAACGTATGGTATATAATTGCTGGCCAGTTATCCCAGCGACAGGTGTTGAAACAAACATACGAAGATATGTATAGATTGGCTGCGAGCGAGGGGGGGAAATGTGAAGGAGAAGGGTTTCCAAAGGCGGCGGGACTTCTCAAAACCCTGGCACCATCTGAGAAATATTATGTGTCTTCGGGGGCGGGAGTTATCAGAAGCCCTGGCGTCTTCGGAAAAACATTCTCTGTGTCTTCGGGGAAGTCTCCAAGGCCGGGAGGCTTCCGAGCCTTCTGAAAAGGTGCGCCATTTCTCACTTCCCCCCCTTCGCTCGCCGCCGAATATCGATACATATATATATATATGCACTAGAGCCACGCGCGCGCTTCGCCCGCTTAGGTTGTAGTCACTCCAGCGACCACGCTCAACACAACACCACCCATGCCGCCACGGCTACCACCGCTCTTTCCGCCATCACCGCGGCCACGACCACTTCCTATTACATGTCCATTATGGGCATGACCACTCCATCCACGACGATTGCACTTTCCGCGAACACTATAACGGCCATTGGTTCAACCTCTGCCTGTACCACCACCAATACCAGTACCATTTCCAGTGCCACTGCCGCGAATCCACGACCACTATCATCACCACCACGGGTCGCTACACGTCGGGTCCTGGAAGTCCTGCGCATGCCACGGGACTGGTATTTCATCCTGTCCAAGAAATTCGCTAGCGTGACTTGTTCAACGCGGGGTCCCTGGAGTGGGCCCGAAGTCCGAAGACCTTCAATGGGCCTGGTGTTTCGTCGTAATGCTTGACGGTCCCGGGTCCCGTTTCGGGCCTCAGGAAGCGAAGAGTGGTCCGGAAGCATCGGGAGCGGGAAGAGTACCTGAGGGCGACTGGTCAGGGGGCTGTTGGGGGGCCTCTAGGGAGCTTCTTGAAGGTTTTTGGTGGGCTTCTTGGGGGCGTTTGGGGAGGCTCTTGGGGCCTCCTTGGGACCTCTGGGGGCGGAGGGCTTGAAATGTTCGTAGGGCATCCTCTCTGGGCCCTTGCTTGGGGCCGTCCTGGGTCCCTCTTGGGCCGCCTTGGGACCTCTTGGGCTAGCCAGGGGCCCTTTGGGGCCGTTTTGGAACCCTCTTGGACCGTCTTGGGGCGATCCTGGCGGCCCCTCGGGCCGTCTTCGTTCCCCTGGAAGGTCAAGAGGCGAATCCCTGAAACATGTACGTTTTCCGGAGGGAACGGGGCCATTTTTTCCTCTCGGGGCCCTCTTGGGAGGGCTCTTGGGGCTCTATTTGGCTGTCTCGGGGGCTCCCGGGAGCACTCTTGGGGCCATCGTCGGCGTCTTCAAACCACATTTCGAGGCTCGTGCGCCCTCTTGATCTGTTTGGCAGCCTCTGGCGCCCTCGGGAGCCGTCCCGGGGGCGCCCCAGAGGCCCCGGTACCCCCATATGCGCGCTCGAGGTCGCGGTCACGGGCCCCCTGTCCTCGTCCCCCGGGGTATATATATATATATATATATATATATATATATGTAATACAGGACTGGGTTGGCATTTCACGCCATGTGCCCCGTTCCGGACGCTTCCCCGGCAAAGCAATAAATCATCGTTTGCGTCAGCACCCATCCTTATGGGAGGAGGTAGGGAGAAAAGTGTCGTCTGGATTTTCATCTGCCACCTCCAAGGTTTATCCCTACCCATCGCTTCCTCGTCCTTGCTTCATTTTCCGCCTCCTCCGGTGATTGAGTCCATCCTTTGAGGAAGTAAGGAGCGTTCCCATGGCACGCCGAAGAAGTCGCAGTAGCTCCGAACAAATCGATTTTCGGTCGCTTCCTGAATGCCTGGAGGGCTCCAGTCGATCGTTGAAATTCGAATCTAGATCCATTGCCTGTCTCTCTCAATCGAGGAAATTAAACCTCAAGCCTCAAGCGTGGAACCAAGATCGTCGGGTCAGCTCGATGTAATTCGTAAGAGAACGCCGTCTGGGCGTTTTTGGAACTCTTTTGGGCCGTCCTGGGGCCCTCTTGGGCCGTCCTGGGGCATTCTTAAGCCGTCTTGGGGAGCTGGGGCCCTCCCGAGGTCTTCTGAAGCCACCTAGGGCCCTCTTGGGGGCCTCCAATAGCCTTCTTAAGGGTCTCCCATGGCTTTCGTGGATCTATCTTGGGAGCCTTCTGGGAGCATCTTGGGCTTCGTGTGGTCAGTCTCGGGGCTCTCTGGGGCAGTCTTGGAGCCCTCTTGGGACGTATTTGACCCCTCTGGGGGGTCTCCTGAGCCATCTTGGGGCGATATCGGGGGCCCATCGGGCCGTCTTGAACGCTGCGAAGACCCAAAAAGCGGACATGCTAAAATAGACATTTCCCTCATGGAATGAAGCGACTTTTGCTTCTTCGGGGCTCTCTCAACGGCCTCGGGGCGTCTTGGGAGCCTCTTGAGCCGTCTTCAGACCATCGAGGTCCTCTTGGAGCGCTCCTGTGCTGTTTTGAATCTCTCTTGCGCCTCTCCGACTGATCGCCTTGAGTCTGCTCGCAAGGCCCGGCAAGGCGCCCTGGGAGGCCCGCAAGGGCCAGCGGACCTTTTCCAAGGGCGTCCAGGGGGCCGCCGAGACGTCCGAAAGGGCGTCTGGGGCGTCCCTGGGGGGGGTCTGGTTTAGGAGGGGGTCCGGGTAATAAAAATATAAGAAAAAGTAAAATGTATTCATATACATACATACATACATACATACATACATACATACATACATACATACATACATACATACATACATACATACATACATACATATATATATATATATATATATATATATACATACATATATATAGATATATAGATAGATAGATAGATAGATAGATAGATAGATAGATAGATAGATAGATAGATAGATAGATAGATAGATAGATAGATAGATAGATAGATATATAGATAGATAGATATATAGATAGATAGATAGTTAGATAGATAGATAGATAGATAGATAGATAGATAGATAGATAGATATGTATGTATACCTATATATATAGGTATGCATATACACATAGACTGCGTTTGGGTCGCCATTTGCCACTAAGTGATAGACATGTCTTTGGCCCCGAGCTGGGCGCCTCCGAAGCCCCCCCCCCCCCGCCACGCGCTCGCCTGGCACTGGCGGGGGCAGCGGCCCGGGGCAGCCGCACCGGGCGGGCGTGAGAGCATGTGCCCACCTCCCGCGACCTCGGACTTCTCGCCTGAGCCCCCGCGGGCTCGTGGCACTGATAGGCTGGCACGCGACACGAGATGTGCCTGGCACCGGTGACACACATATAAATAGACACAGATCCAAGGATTCCCCATAGTTTCGCACAAGGTCTGGGTTTTCGTCTTACCCCCCACTTCCCATCTGTTCCGCCATTTGCCTGGGAGTCGACAACTCAGTGTGTCTGTGTTTTTCCCCTTCTGAGGAACACGGGGTTCTCTGCCGAAAACGAGCTGGCGTGGCGTGGCCCAAAATCCTGCCGGCGTGGCCCAAAATCTGCAGAAATCTGCCGGCGTGGCCCAAAATCCTCTGGCCTCATGCGTCTGCGCAGCATTGTATGCTACCACGCTTTCGTGCATGCTAAAGCTTCTGCAGCACACGTCACTGTTATGAGTTACTTGGCCGAAAGACTGGCTTCTGAGCCTCCTCCTACTCCTGCTCCTGCTGCTGCTATTCCTTCTCGTCTTCCTCCTTCCTCATCCTCCTCCTTCCTCATCATCTCCTCCTTCCTCCAGCTCACGCTCTTGCTCATTCGCAACCTCCTCCTCCAATGTACACAGTTCCCTATTTCTGATGTGCATAATGCGCTGGGGTCCTTTTGAGGGTTTCAGGTCCGCTGTGACACTTATCGGTGAATAGGGAAAAAGTCAGCGCAGGGTGAAGGGCGGGATGACCGATATAGCGCGAGCGCGCCTAGCTTGCCTCCTCCCCCTCTTCCTTGACTCCTCCTCTCCTCCATCCACCCTTATTCCCATCTCGCCTCCTCTGTTCTCCTCCCCCGCCCCCCGCCTCCCCTCCCTCCTCATCCTCTTCCTCCTTCTCCTCCTCCTCGGCCTCCTGAAAATCAAAATCATCATCATCCTGTCACTCCCCTTCCTCCTCCTCCTCCTCCTCCTCCTCCTCCTCCTCCTCCTCCTCCTCCTCCTCCTCATCATCATCATCATCATCATCATCATCATCATCATCATCATCATCATCATCAGCATCAGCATCAGCATCAGCATCAGAATCAGCATCAGCATCAGCAGCATCATCATCATCATCATCATCATCATCATCATCATCATCATCATCATCATCATCAGCATCAGCATCATCAGCATCAGCATCAGCATCATCATCATCATCATCATCATCATCATCATCATCATCATCATCATCATCATCATCATCATCATCATCATCATCATCATTAGCAGCATCATCATCCTGGTCACAATCATCATCGTCGTTTTCCTCCTCATCACCGTCATTATTGTCCGAGTCCTCGCCATAATCCTCGTCCACGTCCTCGTCCTCGTCCTCCTCGTCGTCATTATCATCACCAGCGGCAAATCACCATCATCATCAGCATCATCATCATCATCATCATCATCATCATCATCAATCATCATCATCATCATCATATTCATAATCAGCATCGTCAACATCATCATCATCATCATCATCATCAGCAGCATCCTCATCAGCAACAACAACATCATCATCATCAGCATCATCAGCACTGGCATCATCATCACCATCACCAGCATCATCAGCAGCAGCATCAGCAGCAGTATCACCATCAGCACCATCATCATCAGCAGCATCATTATCATCAGCATCATCATCAACAGCATCATCATTACCATGCAGCATCACCATCATCATCAGCATCATCATTATCTCATCAGCATCATCAGCAGCAGCATCCTTATTCTCATCAGCACCATCGTCATCACCATCAGCATCAGCATCATCATCACAATAATCATCACCACCATCATATTCACCATCAGCATCATCATCAGCTTCGTCATCGTGATCGTCCTCATCGTTATCATCATCACCACCATCATTATCAGCTGCTGGCGGAAAACCTGGGGGGGTCACTACCGGTTCGAACCCCTCCCCCCCCCCCCTCTGGAAAACCGGGGGGGGTCACTACCGGTTCGAACCCCTCCCCCCCCGCCAGTTCATCATGAAAAGGGGGTGGGACAGTGGAGGGGACGGTAGTGGTGGGGACAATGGTGAGGACAATGGCGGGAACAGTGGGGACAGTGGGACAGTGGTGGGGGCGGTGGTGGTGGGGACAGTGGTGTGGGGACAGTGCGAATGTGGTGGAAACAGTAGGACAATGGAGGCTACAGTGGTGGTGGGGACAGTGGTGAAGGCGGTGGCGAGGACGGCGGTGGAACTATGGGACAGAGGTAGAGTGGGCACAGTGGGGACAGTGGTGGGGACAGTGGGGACAGTGGTGGGAACAGTGGGACAGCTCAGTGGGACAGCGGAGGAGTCAGTGGGACAGTGGGGACAGTGGGGATAGTCGGGCAGTGGTTGGGGCCGTGGAGAAAGTTGGGAGAGTGGAACCGTGGTGGGAACAGTGGTGGGGACAGTGGGGACAGTGCGACAGTGGTGGTGGCACTGGTGGGGACAGTAGGGGCGGTGGTGGAACCAGTGGGGACAGTGGTGGTGAGTGGTGCTGGGAACAACAGTGGGGGATGTGGTGAGGACGGTGGTAGGGACCGGGCGTCGTTTGCTGGCGGTGAGAGGGGGGGTGGGGAGGGGTTCGAACCGGTAGTGACCCCCCCCTCCGGTTTTCGAGGGGGGGGGGGGGTCGAACCGGTAGTGACCCCCCCCGGTTTTCGAGGGGCAGGGGGGGGGGGGGGGGGGAGGGGTTAGGGGAGGGGGGGGTTTTGCCGGGGGGAGGGGGGGGTGGGGATCCAGCAGGGGGGGGGGGGTTCGGAGGGGGGGGGACCCCCGGGTTCCGGAGGAAAAGGGCGGCAATTTTCCATAGTAAAGCGGCGGTGGATCACGCTCTCTGTTATCAGCAGCATCATCATCAACAGAATCATCATCATTGTCATCATCACCAGCACCATCATCAGCACTAGCATCTTCCTCAGCAGCATCACCAATTTCATCTGCATGTGCCCCTCTTCCTCATCCCCACCTTCCTCATCCCGTTTAGCGACCCCGACGTAGGAAAGCAGCCGCGTGTTTGCACGCCAAGACCGCGAACAAAAAAAACGCAGGGGCCACATACGATGCGACAGGAATATCGGCGTATACATGTGGAAAAAGCCGAGTGAAGGTCGGGCCGATTGCGAGTGTAGCCCCCTCCTCGTCCTCCTCCTCCTCCTCCTCCTCGTCATTATCATCGCCATCATCATCATCATCATCATCATCATCATCATCATCAGCAGCAGCAGCAGCATCATCATCATCACCAACATCATCATCATCATCATCATCATCATCATCATCATCATCATCATCATCAACATCATCATGACCATCATCATCATCATCATCATCATCAGCATCATCATCATCATCATCATCATCATCATCATCATCGGCATCATCGGCATCGGCATCATCAGCATCATCAGCAGCAGCAGCAGCAGCATCATCGGGAGGGGGAGGAAGGAGGGAGGGGACACGATGGATGAGCGCGGAGCAAAAAGAGTAACGAATAGGGAGAGATGCCAGAAAAGGGGAGCACGAAGCAAGGAGAAAGAAAAGCAAGGATCAAGCAGCAAAGAGTGATCGGGGAAGGATCTCGGGGAACGAGGAGAGAATAAAAAGAGAGGGGGAGCGACCTGTCGAGGAGGGAGGCGGGAGGAGGAGAGGATGTGAGAAAAAGGAGGCAGGAGGGGAGAGAGAGGCGGAAGAGGAGAGAAACACGGAGGAGGAGGAGGAGGAGGAGGAGGAGGAGGAGGAGGAGGGAAGGAGGAGGAGGAGCAGCAGCAGCAGCAGCAGCAGGGAGCAGGGAGCAGGGAGAAGTCTCAAGAGGGAGGAGGGAGGAGGCAGGAGGGGAGAGGAAGAAGGGAGGGGGGGGCCTGCGCAGTCGGCTCGGCTGCCGCACGGCCACCGCTGGTTGCGCTGGGCAGTCTGCACATGGAGGGAACACGGTCAAGCCCTCCTGATGCCTGGATTTGTGCCAGCTCCTCCCACCCTCCCTCCCTCCCTCCCTCCGACCTGCTCCTCTGCGGGGACTAGATCCGTCAGCTTCGAATCGGGAAAAAAGATCGGATCGAAGTGTGCGTCGGAACGGGCCGCATCGGCACGGAGCCGGAATCGAATCGGACCGGCCGCGCCAGGATGCACAGCAGCGCCATGCGAGCATCGGAACGCATGGACCGCCAGAACGTCGGAATCGAATCGGATCGGGTCAGCCGAACTTTGATCAGTACTATTCTTAGTATGTGCTGGTTTGTTTTACGTGTTGGTTTCATATCGCTGGTTTTATATGTTTTATCAAATCGAATCGGATCGAAATGGCTCCTGTGGTGGTGGGGGGTGTGTGGGGGGGGGGGGGGGGGGGGGGGGGGGCAAGTCGGAGGCTGCGGCGTGGCGCTCTATCCTCCCATAGTCCGTTATCCTTGTTCTGGCCGTCGTTGGGCACGAGGGCCCCCTGTGCCTCGACAACAGCTGGCTGCCAGCACGGCGCCTTGCCCCTGCCAGGGTTCGACGATCTCTCTTCTCTCTCTCTCTCTCTCTTTCTCTCTTCTCTCTCTCTCTCTCTCTCTCTCTCTTCTCTCTTTTCTCTCTCTCTTTTCTCTCTCTCTCTCTCTCTCTCTCTCTCTCTCTCTCTTCTCTCTCTTTTTGTTCTCTCTCTCTCTCTCTCTCTTTTGTTCCCTCCTCCCTGCCATCGCCCGCGCCCCCCCCCCCCCGTCCTCCCACCGGGCGGAGGGCGGCCCAACCTGCTGCCTGGAACTGCGCCAGCTCCTTCCGAGCCATCTCGTAGCTGACCTGCCGACCAGCGACTGGCGAGTGGCGGCGACTGTAGGCGGCGGGCGAGGGGGGGAAATGAGAAGGAGAAGGCCTTCTCAGAAGCCGGCGGGACTTCTCAGAAGCCCTCGCGCCTTCTGAGAGGTTTTTCCTTGTCTTCCGGGAAGGCTTTAGGAAACTTCTCAGAAGGCCGGGGGACTTCCGAGACCTCTGAGAAGGCCCGCCCCTTCTCACTTCCCCCCCTCGCTCGCCGCCGAGATTGGAGCAGCGCGCCCTCTGGAAACCACAGGCAAGCTTCCAAACACACATGCCGCTGAAGCGACGCCAAAGCACAGCAATGACAAAAGAGTGCCACACGGCTGGCTGCTGCACGGACGATGCCAACGGATTGAGGGAAAGCGGGCAAGACGGAGCGGGGGAGGGACGAAACTGGTACTGAACTATCTAGGGGGCAAACAAACCTACCTCGCTTTTGACCACCCTCGCTTCCAAGAGATACCAAGCGATGCCAAACTACGGCCTGTACTGGTCAAGCCGCTTGGCGAGGAGGCGCGTGGTATGACTTGGTTTTGCCTAGAAGCGAAAGCGGGGTAGGTAATTCACGCTCTGACTATCAACGGCACAAACATGCCACTGCTGGATTCCGTTGCCACGGGCATGCCAGCTACTCGTGGCAAGGCACCCAACACAGCCCCCAAATACGTACACCGCAACACCCCAACGTCGGGGACGGGCGGCTGGGAAGGTAAGGTGGATAGATGGAGAGATAACCTAATAAAAATAGACGTTCGGATGTACGCGCGGAGTTCTTGGATCGGCGCTGGACCCCCCTCCTGGCGCGCGGCGCGCGCCAGGTTCATCGCCGCCAGGAAGGCCTGGCGCCGATCCGAGAAATCCGCGCGGAACTCTGAAAGTTCATGTTACAGTCGGCCCGTATCAGAAGGATGCGCGGTAAGGATGCAAGGGCCTTGGACGCCCATTTCGAAGCTTTTCGAGCGGGGCGCGGCCAACTAAAGTGGCGAAGGATGGACCGAGGAGGCAAGGATGCAAGGGGTATCCTTGGGAAGGTTGCCCATCCTTAACATGCGGGTCGATTGGAATGTCGTTTGTTTGTTCTTTGAGAGGTGGACGTGAAGGTGGAGGAGGAAAAGGAAGAGGATCCCTTGAAAAGTAAAGGAGGGCCCCGCGGTCCGCCTTGCCAGAGTCAAGCAGCTGGGTGGCCTTGCCCTGGCGCGGGTCCACGAAGAAGAAGAGGCTCTGGCCTGCGACCGGGGCCGAACAGGAGGCGACAGAAGCAAGTGCTGAGGGGGAGGGGGGGAGAGTAGGAGGAAGCGGGGGATGAGGAAGAGGAAGAGGCGCAGGAGGAGTAGGAGGAGCAGGAAGCGGGGGAGAGGGGGAAGAGGAAGAAGAGGTGGAGGGTGGAGGACGAGTTCGGCGGTGAGCCCAGGGGGAAGGGAGAAGGGACGGGCCTTCTCAGAAGGCCCAGAAGTCACCCAGCCTTCTGAGAAGTCTTCTGAGCCTTCCCCGAAGGGACAGAGCACTTCTCAGAAGGCGCGCGGGCTTCTGACAAGTCCCGCCGCCGCCTTCTGAGAAGGCCTCCGCCTTTTCACTCTCCCCCCCCCCTCGCTCGCCGCCGACGAGCGGGAACGAGAGGAGCATCTCGAAGGCCCTCAACTGGTAGCCCGAGGACTTCCAACACCGCGCTTGATGTCCCACCTGCGTCGCACCGACCAGGGGCCCTCGTGCGCGGCCGGGCCGCGCGAAGCCGGCCAGCAGACGGGTCAGCCCCAGGCTCAGGTCGGGCCCGTCCTCCTACGGCGGGGAGCTTGGACGAGAAAGAAGAGGTCAAGCAATACCCCAACAGGGTCCAAAAAACGCTCAAAACATCGTGCCGAGACCATTTTTTGGTTTGACTGTTTTTGAACAGTCCTCCCGTGGAGGGGCGGGCCCGATGCAACCCCGGGCCTCGAGGCGCAGCAGCGGCCTCCTCGGGGCTGCGGGGCCGCGGGCCGACTGGGGGAGCGCGCACGCCGCTGCGGTCATGACAGGCCCGTTTTCCACCACCACCACCACCAGAAGTTGGAGGGGGAGGGGGTCCTCCTCCTCCTCCTCCTCCTCCTCCTCCTCCTCCTCCTCCTCTTCCTCCTCCTCCTCCTCCTCCTTCTCCTCGTCCTCCTCCTCCTCGTCCTCCTCCTCTTCGTCCTCCGTCTCCTCGTCCTCCTCCGCCTCCTCCTCCTCCTCCTCCTCTTCTTCGTCCTCTTTCTCCTCGTCCTCCTCCTTCCCCCCTCCAACTCATGGTGGTGGTGGTGGTGGAAACACACGCCCACCAAGTCACCAGGGAGGATGTCCAGAGAAGGGTCCACCCCGACGACCTGCACCGGCGTGGCAGCGCAGGCCGCCGCAGCTCGCACTCGGGCAACGGGGCGGGCCGACAAGGCTTAAGTCGGGCGTGTCCCCCTACAGGGGGATTCTCGGCGGAACATAGAAAATACCCACAACATGTCCCAAAATTGTCAAAAAATGCTCAAAAAATAGTCCCCAGACTATTTTTGGACTATTTTTGGATGTTCCCCCTGTGGAGGGACAGGCCCGACTGAAGACAGGGCAAAGCGGGCCGGGCAAGGGGCGGCAGAACGGGGCCGGAGGGCGAGGAGCCGAGGGCCCCGGGGAAGAGATCTGCGGGCAATACTCCTGTCCAGATCCACTGCAGTATTGAGTTGCGGGCTCTCGTCCACAGAAGCCCGAGGCGCACTGGACATGGATAGATTTACCCCCTGAGGCTCGATCTTTGTCCACATCCAGTGCGCCTCGGCCTTGTGGCGCCCCTTCCGAGAAAGTGCAAGACGCACTGGATATGGATATAGATCTTTCCCGCAAGATCGGCGGCACACCCGCGCCCCCAGAGGCCGAGAGCTGCGCAAGCGCGCCGTCTTCACACATCGTGCCGACTTTGGCGGCCGCCTGTGCCCCCAACAGGGCTGCCCAACGAGTCGTCACGGGGCGATAATGGCGACGAGGTGCCCTGGAAGAATGCAAAGCCTCGGCCAGCAAACGCATGCGCACACTTTTATATAACAAGTCGGCGGCGCAGAGGGCCCTCCGGCGCGGGCAGCAGATGGAGGGTGCCAGGTGCAACCGGACATGACGCCCACGAGGCGCCCACGAGGCGCCCACCAGCCTGGCACCAGCCGAAGACCTGGCACACCCAACCAATTAGCCCTAATTGCAAGCACTGCTTGCTTGGGGAAAGATGGTGCAGGAGGAGGGGGAAGGGGGGAGCAAGGGAAAGGGGAGGAGAGAGAGAAAAAAGAACAGGGGGGGAAGGAGGCTCCTCATCCTCCGTCTCCTCTTCCTCGTCATCACCATCATCATCATCATCATCATCATCATCATCAGCAGCAGCAGCAGCAGCAGCATCATCATCACCATCATCTGCATCATCAGCATCATCAGCATCATCATGATCATCAGCATCAGCATGATGCTCATCATCATCCTCATCAGCAGCAGAAGCATCAACATCATCATCATCATCATCATCATCAGCAGCAGCAGCAGCATCATCGTCATCATCGTCGTCATCGTCGTCACCAGCAGCAGCATCGGCATCAGCATCGGCATCAGCATCAGCATCAGCATCATCATCATCATCATCACCACCATCATCATCATCATCATCAGCATCGTCATCATCATCAGCAGCATCATCATCCCCACCACCACCATCACCACCACCATTACCACCTCCTCCGCCTCCGACGACAACGACGACGCCGACGACGACGCCAACGCTTAAACGTTGTGGAACGAAAAATCCCGCTATAAAAAGGACGCGGCCGTGGATCGCCTAGGAGTTTGTTCTCGCAACGCACGCGTGCGCTGTATTTTTCAGCAGCGTCACATAGCACCTGGCACACGTTTTGTGCTGGAGAATCACGCTCCACCAATCGGTGCCGCGTGCAGCGTCGCGGGCCAAGGCGATCCGCTCGGGGGGGCAAGCCTCAGCCGTGCAAGTCTGCTGGGCGGTCGCCAGACCACGACGGCACTCGGGGTCGCAAAACCCAAGCCCGAACTCTCAACGTGCTGCCCCGAGGGCGCGAAAGAAGCTCCCGGACGCGACGCCCCCGCCAGCGCGCACGCCAACAGGTCCGCAAGCGCTCCGTGGAGTGTGCCCCAGAGAGGGCGCCCGTAAGCGCGACCGCTGTTGGATCGGGCGCCTCGCTCGCAACATACCTGACAACCTGACCACGTGACCGCTACTTGATCGGCGGGGCGAGGAGGCCCATCCACGCCCCGCCACGACGCTCGGGGGCCAGGGTTCGGTCGGGCATGTCCTCCTGCAGGCGGACTTTGGATGACAAACCGAAAATAGTCAAAGCATGCTCAAAAATGATCCGAAATAGTCCAGAAATCGTCCCCAGACTATTGGTTGACTATTGTTGCACTCCTACAGATGGGCATGCCCGACTTAGAACCAGCCAGGGCTCCATAGACAGGGCCCCAACGGCTCCTCGGAGCCCGGCGCTCGCAGGACGAGGCGGGCGCCGCTCGCGTGAGAACAGGGGCCCCGCCCAGGAGCAGTGCGCTTCAGAGAGCATGCGAGCGTGCGCCAGCATGCTCACACCATCGCCGCTTCATCGCCACGCCAGCGTGTTTTCTTCGGCGTTTCGACATTGGGCGGAACGGGGGAGGAGGGGGGGGTGGCTCTGGAGCTCTGCTCACTGCGACTGTTTGCAACAGCCCACTTGCTTGAAACGGGCGCCAAAAACAGCCAAGATCTACTCCAGGGATGGGGGGGGGAGTGGCGGGGGAAGGGAGTGGGTGCGAGGGCCCGCGCCGATCGGCAAAACAATGAAAAAAGAAAACGATCACCATTTACACATCATCATCATCGCTTGCATCGCCGCTGAAGATACGCACAGCCTTACCACCAGCCCGCTTTGTATGACCGAAAGTACCGCCATCTCCCCATCACTGGCGTACACGGGCGGACTGGCAGATCTACCAAGCTGCCTCATCAGATGGCACCGCATGCTTCCAGAGATTGGGCCCAGCAAACTCCTGAACGTGTGCCGGTCCACAACGACGACGACGACGACGACGACGACGACGACGACGGCGACGTAGATGACGACGATGGCGACGGCGACGGCGACGACGGCGACGACGACGACGACGGCGACGACGGTAGTGACGGTGGCGCGGGGCGGGCGGCACGCTCCACCCCGCGCCGAGCGCCCGCGCGCGGCGACCGCCCGCGGCCGCTCGCGCTCCCAGGGGGCGCTGGCGTCCAACCTGCCCGCGCAGGTTGCCGACCCCCCCGTGCGCCGCGACCGAGCGAGGCGCGGGGGCGCCGCATCACGCGGGTGCAGGGGGGGTCCACCGGGCGACCCCGAACCCCCGCAGCTCCCTCGGCCGTGCCGCCTCGCGGCCCCGCCTGCCGCCGCCCAGGCCGGCGCGCCCCGCGCAGCGGCCCCCTCGGGCCCCGGGGGCGCCCTCCGCCTTGCCCTCCCCCTCCGTCTCGCCGTCCGCCTCGCCCTCCTCCTTCCCGCCGTCCTCCCACAGCGGCCCCAGCTCCTCGCGGGCCTCCTCCGCGGAGAAGCCCGCCACCGGGAGCCTGCCGACCTGCTGGACCGTGAGCCTCTGCAGCAGCGCCCCCAGGCGCGGCTCGGCCGGCCTCCCTGGGCGCACCAAGCCCAGACGAGGCGCCCCTCCCGCTCGCCGGAAGTGCTCCGTGAACGCGGCCTCAGAGGACGCCGTCGGGCGCGCGCTTGCGCTCCACCGCGGTGGCGCCCTCACGGCGCGGGCGGGGCGTCTTCTTGCGGAGGCGGCGGGGTGGCCTTGCCGCCGCGGGCACCTCCCCGCGTTCCTGCGGCCCCGTGGCCTCCCCCACTACCTCGGCGGCCTCCCCGCACTCCGCCACGACCCTCTCCACCGGCGCCTTCCCGACGTCCGACCCGCCGCGGCCTCCACCACGGCCGCCTCGCCCTCCGCGGGCACCATCTGCTCTCCTCCAGCGCCTGCAGCTCCTCCCAGTCCGCCGCGGCCTCGGCCTCGGCCACCTGGCCCTCCGCGGGCGCGATGTTGGTCCCCACCCCGCCGCCCGTGGGCGCTGCGCCCGCACCAGCGGGCGTTCCCGCCGACGCCTGGCGGAGCGCTAGGTCGAGGCCAGCGAGGCCCTGGCCCCGATGGCCCTCGATCTGGCCGAAGGCCGCCAGGAGCCTGGCCGCCACTCGCCCCATCTGCCCGCAGATACTGGGCCCGCTGCCCAGCAGCGGTGCGGTTCGGCCGAGGTCGCCGCGGCGCCGCCTGGCCAGCAGCCGCCGACGTGGCCCGCCCGCTGCCCGCGGAGAAAGGGACGGAGGAAGGGCCCGAGAGCCCGAAGGCGGCGCGCTCGCGGCGAGCCCGCATGCTCGGGCCGAGCTGTCGCGACGACGACGACGACGACGACGACGACGACGACGACGACGACGACGACGACGACGACGACGACGACGACGACGACGACGACGACGACGACGACCCCCGCGGCTGCTCGCCGAACGCCAGGCGGTCGCCGTGGGCCAGGGCGACGCCCTGGGGGGCCGGCGGGCCGCGGCGGGGGCCGCGGCGGGGGCCGCGGCGGGTGCGAGGCTGCCTCGAGGGGCGCCGCCCCGCCTCGGAGCCGTTCTCGGCGGCGGGCGCGGCTGACTACCTACCTACCTACCTACCTACCTACCTACCTACCTACCTACCTACCTACCTACCTACCTACCTACCTACCTACCTACCTACCTACCTACCTACCTACCTACCTACCTACCTACCTACCTACCTACCTACCATCCTCCTCCTCCTCCTCCTTCTCCTCCTCCTCCTCCTCCTCCTCCTCCTCCTCCTCCTCCTCCTCCTCCTCCTCCTCCTCCTCCTCCCAACCTAACACGTTATACGTCGCAGCGCGGCAGGGGCAACCCGCACGCAGGTCCGAGTGACCACCCCAAGCTAACCCGAAGACACACATTTCGGGTTTCGGCGGGGCGTGCGCAGTGCTCGGCGGCGGGCCCCGAGGGGCCCTGCCTCGGCACGGTTCTCGGCGGGTTCCACACGTGTTTCTCCGGTGCTCCCGAGGGGTACGGAGGGTACGGGGTCCCCGATGGGCGCCGCCCTGCCGCGGCGTGATTCTCGGCGGCAGGCCCAGCTGGCTACCTACGGCAGGTTCGTGTCATGACGACCCCGGCGCTGGTTTCTGACACCGCGTGCATCGTTCAATCTCGAATGGCTGGCTGCTTTCCGCTCGCCCGATCCTTCCATGCAGGCTGCTTCTGGGCCACCGGCGGCGTTCGACCTTGAACGCCTGCGGCGGGGTCGCCGCCAGCCCACATGTGTGCTTTCCAATGCTCCCTGACGCCCCCCGCCCCCCCCCGTCCACGGGGAATGCAGGGCAAGTCGGGGCCCTCGGGTTTTGGGTCGAGATGCCTTTGGCGGGCGCTGACCAGCGGGGCACCGGAGCCATCGGGCTGCCCACGTGCGTGCGGGCGCGGGGGCGGCACCACGCGGCCACGGGCGGTCGCCGAGGGCTCGGGCAGTGAGACGCGCGCGCGCGCGCGCACGTGGCTGCTGTCGACCTCGTACGCCTCGACGCTGCACACGAGGCTGCGACGCCCAAGGAGCGGCGCGGGAGCGTCCTCGGGCGGAGGTGCGCGCGCTCGAGCGGAGTTCTGCCAGCCTCCTGGAGGCTGCAGGGCAGCGTCCGCGAGCACTGCGGGCGGCAGGGGGGGGGGGACCAGCTCGACTTCCGCAGCCTCCTCTCGACGGCGAGCCTGGGGGGCAGTGAGAAGGGGCGGGCCTTCTCTGGAGGCTCGAAGGCCTCGAGCCTTTCGAGTTTTCTCAGCAAGGGCTCCCAACTTCGCGCTTCGCGCTCCGCGAAGCGCGAAGCGCGAATCACTTCGCGCTCTCGCGCCGCCCCCTCCAAAGGGAGAAAAGGAGGACGAGGAGGAGCGGGAGAAGGAACGAGGACCGCGAAGCGCGAAGCGCGAATAACTTCGCGCCCTCGTGGAAGAACTTGCCTTAGCCTCCCCGAGGACATACGAAACTTCTCGGATTGCCAGAGGGCTTCTGAGAAGGCCTTGTCCTCCTCACGTCCCCCCCGGGCGCGCCGCCGAAGCTCGACTACGCGCAAGAGTGGCCCTCGGCAAGGGCGGCCTTTGCTGCGCGGCTTTCGGGGGCCGCGGGCAGGCCAAGCCCAAGCGCGCAGGCCAGTGCTGGGCGGACCCCCCTCGTGAGCCCGCACCAAAGGTCACTCTGGCGAAGGGCCACTCTTGCGCGAAGCCGACCAGTAATCGGGAGCGGCCAAGAGGGGGGTGTCCAAGAGGGGGGGGTGCAAATCATGACCGGCGGCATGTGCGCGGCCCAGCGGGGGGGCGAGGGACGTAACGAAATAAGAAGACGCGTCATGAAATCTGGGGAAATGTCATGGCCCCCGCCATGATATCCCCCCCCTAGTCATCACCCCCCTCTGTTCCGCCCCCGAAGTAAGGTCGGAAGCTGGTGTTTCGCGTGTCGCTGCGGCGGCCCCAGCGACGCGCCATGCCCTGGGAGCGGACCGCGTGCCTCTCCGCTCCGCGGGCCGGGCGGCTGGGACAAACGCGAGGCATCGACGCCTGGAGACCGGGACACGGCGAGCGTGTCGCGCCGCAGAGCGGTGGGCCAGCACTGACGAAGCGACACGCTATCGAGAAGCTCCCGACCGTAGACGGCTCTCCTTGCAACGCCCCATGGCCACCGCGATGCAGCAGGCATGGCGCTTGGGCATCCCGGGGAGAAGTCCCCAGGAAAGGCCCGCTCATACCCAGACTCACTGACACTTCGAACCACTCGTGCTGCGTCACTGAGACTCCCTCGTGCTCACACGCACACATACACACAGGGAACGCGCCGGAACAAAAACACACATATAGGGAGATCCGCATCGAGTGCTGTTTACAACGTGGGCCCCCGGGGGTATCGATCTCTTCCCTGGGACCAGTTTTCCCTCACGGGTCATATCTTTCTCCTCCTCCTCCTCCTCCTCCTCCTCCTCCTCCTTCTCCTGCCCGCCGCAAGGACGATGATCCTGAGGAGGAGCAGGAGAAGGACCAGTGTAAGCCCAAGATTCATCAACGATGTTGAAATAAACCCTCCCGCCAAGCTCCCTCTTCATGGTCCCCTACAAAAATTCATGTCCACTGCGGCTAGTGACTCGTTGGGAGACAATCGTTTGAAGATCCCGAAACGTGCCAGGACACGACACCACGAATCAATTTGACCGTTGCGTCTTGACGGTCCTGGATCGCACTAGAACGCCGTTCCTGGGACTTCAGCACCGCGAATCAACGTCACTGTTGCAGACTGACAATCGTGAACCGTTTCGAAACCACTGCTGATACCTTAACTAACATGGGAGATGCATGAAACTCTTGTCGCATGTTTTAAGACGAATGGGCGGGGCCCTAAGGCGAGAGCCACATAATATTGAAAGCGGCCCGTTGACCATCTGCGAAACTGCTGCCAATCTATGAGCTTCAAGATCATGAACGGTAAAGAACTATCGGCCGGACCGCCCGGACCGCCCCTTCAGGCTGGCCTCGGCGTGCGACGGGGAGCAGCATTCACGGGGAAAGGAGGAGGAGGCGGAGGAGGAGGAGTGTCATCCTCCCCCCCCCTCCTTGTCGGAGCTTTTCCCCCTTGGAGCGAAGGCGGCGACAGGGGAGACCCTCGGAGAAGCCACAAGCCTTCGAATGCCTTCGGCGGACCTCGGAGGAAATCCAGAGGCCCTCGGCGGCATCCAGAGGCCCTCGGAGGTATCTCGATGATCCTCAGAACGCGCGTTGGCGCTGAGCGGGTCGGGTCGACACACGTCCCGGGGATTATCCAGCATCCTTGTCTAGGGCGCGCTGGCCCAGTTCAGCAAGGGCCGATGTCGGGAACCTGGGCTGGCCCCGCATACGCTCCCAAACCCGTGGCAACGGAGGACGGGAACGGGGGCTCGACTCCACGTGGCCCCCAAACTCGGGTCAGCCACTCCAGCCATCTGGCGGCCAACCCACGCCAGCGCTGAAACAGCCACGCCCACCCATCTGGTTTTCGGGCCATATCTCGGGCCTCGGGCGGCCGTTCGGGACGATTCCTGCAGCACCCGAACGGCCGAACGCTCTCGACGAGGCGCAGATGATGGAAACCATCTAGGAAAACCGTCCAAAAACCTCCGGATAACGTGGGCCTGGATCCTCCTCAGCCATCGGAGGCTCCCTGGGGCCCTCGGAGGCCCTTGGCGTCCCTCTGATAAAGGAGTTATCCTGGCGAAGGACCCAACCATATGCAGTTGTGAGTACCGCAATTGTGAGTATCTTCTTCGGTGGTGCCCACGAACCGTATGAGGGGCGTGCCGAAATGTGGCGGGGTACACAACACGAAGGAAAACGATTGGTCGAATTACGAGAGGCTGAGCGCGGGCGAATATGAGCGCGAGTGGGTTTAAGTGTGAATGAGTCTGCGTGCGAGCGAATATATTTGCACGAGTGCGATCATGGCTACGCCTCGTGTAAGTGTATATGAATGCGAATGGTTCGGGTATGCCTGTCTGTGCACTCGCGACACTGAGCGTGGCCGCCGCAGAAAGCTTCCGCGGGAACCCCGGCGGCAGCGCCCGCACGCGGCGACGCCCACGTCGGCACGCCCCTCACGAGGATCGCGCCCGCTTCCTTCCCTTCTTTTCCTCCCTCTTTGCCCGCGCACTCCAAAGTCCAAAGGTGCGGGCGCAGCGCGGCGCGGAGTCCCCGCGAGGCGCGCCGGTCGCCCGAGAAGGGTCCCAGCGACGCGCGCGGGTCGTCCGCTGCGCGGAGCAAAGAGAGCTAGCTAGATAGCTGGCTGGCTGATAGCGGACAAGGCTCTGACCGCTGGGCAGAACGACGACGGGCGAGCGACGCGCAGGGAAGAACGCAGCACGGAGCTCCCGCGACGCGCGCTGGTCGCCCCGGGAGGGTCCCAGCGACGCGCGCGGGTCATCCGCGGCGCGAGGCCAAACACTTAGTTGGGCAGTCGAAAGAAGGCGCGGCTCGGGGGGGGCGCTCCTCAGGTCAGGCCTCGCGGGTGAACTCGGTGAAGCCGAGCTCCCTGGGGGACGCATGCGGGCGGTGGCACTGGGACCTTCGGTGGAGCTCCCTATGGAGCCTCGAAACGTGTGGGGGGGGTGCCGAAATGGGTGTGGGGGACGCAAGCGGGCGGTGGCACTGGGGCCTTCGGTGGAGCTGCCTATGGGGCCACGAAACGTGTGAGAGACATGTATGTGGGGGACGCATGCGGGCGGTGGCTCTGGGGCCTTCGGTGGCGCTCCCTGTGAGGCCACGAAACGTGTGAGGGGTGTGCCGACATGGGTGTGGGGGACGCATGCGGGCGGTGGCACTGGGACCTTCGGTGGAGCTTCCTATGGGGCCATAAAATTTGTGAGGGGTGTGCCGACATGTGTGTGGGGGACGCATGCGGGCGGTGGCACTGGGGCGGTGGAGCTCCTATCCTTCGGTGGAGCTCCTATGGAGCCACGAAAGGTGTGAGGGGTGTGCCGAAATGGGTGTGGGGGACGCATGCGGGCGGTGGCTAAGGTGTGCCTTCGGTGGAACTCCCTGTGAGCCCACGAAACGTGTGAGGGGTGTGCCGAAATGGGCGTGGGGAACGCATGCGGGCGGTGGCACTGGGGCCTTCGGTGGAACTCCATATGGGGCAACGAAACGTGTGAGGGGTGTGCCGAAATGTGTGCGGGGGACGCATGCGGGCGGTGGCACTGGGGCCTTCGGTGGAGCTCCCTATGGAGCCACGAAACGTGTGGGGTGTGTGCCGAAATGGGTGTGGGGGACGCATGCGGGCGGTGGCACTGGGGCCTTCGGTGGACCCCCTATGAGGCAACGAAACGTGTGAGGGGTGTGCAGACATGTGTGTGTGTGTGTGTGTGGGCGACGCATGCGGGCGGTGGCACTGGGGCCTTCGGTGGAGCTCCCTGTGGGGCCAAGAAGCGTGTGAGGGGCGTGCCGAAATGGGTGTGGGGGACGCATGCGGGCGGTGGCACTGGGGCCTTCGGTGAAGCTCCCTATGGGGCCACGAATTTGGTGAGGGGTGTGCAGACATGTGTGTGGGGGGGACGCATGCGGGCGGTGGCACTGGGACCTTCGGTGGAGCTCCATATGGGGCAACGAAACGTGTGAGGGATGTGACGGAATGGGTGTGGGGGGCGCATGCGGGCGGTGGCACTGGGGCCTTCGGTGGAGCTCCCTGTGGGGCCACGAAACGTGTGAGGGGTGTGCCGACATGGGTGATGATGCTGGTGATGATGACGGTCGTGATGATGTTGATGATGATGATGACGACGACGACGACTACGATGATTGATGATGACGATGATGATGATGATGAAGATGATGACGCTGATGTTGATGCTGATGATGATGGTGATGACGATGATGATGATGATGATGATGATGGTGATGATGATGATAACGATGATGATGATGATGATGATGATGATGATGATGATGATGATGATGATGATGATGATGATGATGATGATGATGATGATGATGGTGATGATGATGATCATGATCATGATGATGATGATGATGATGATGATGATGATGATGATGCTGCTGCTGCTGATGATGATGATGATGATGATGAAGACGGGAGGAGAGAGGAATGAAACGCAGGGAGGGGGAGGAGGAGAGGAAGAGGAACGCGGGGCACCGTCTCTTCAAAACGAGGACCCAACACCACAGGATGGTTGGGAACAAAAGACTGCAGCAGCATAACTGTACCGAAGTCCGTGCGGCTTCACTGGCTCGGCGCTGGACCCCCCTCCCTGGCACACGGAGCGCACCAGGGGAGGCGTCAGAGGCGCCGCCAGGGGGGCCCCGCGCCAGTCCAAGAAATCCTGGGGAGCACGACGCCGTCCTCGTGGGGCCTCCTCGTGGCGCGGCGAGGAGCTCTGTCGAGGCCCTCGCCCGCCCCACCGCTCGCCGCCGACCTGAGCCCCGACGGCCTCCCATCGCTCGCCCCTCCTGCCCGCGCAGGGGGGCGGGGCACGCGGCGCGGGCGGCGGCGGGCGGCCTCGGCGCCGGCCTCCGCGAGGCTGGCCTGCGGGGCCGCCCCCGCCGTGCAGCGCACGGGCCGCCGGGCCCCGCCGGGCACGACACGACGCGAGCAGCGACGACGACGACGACGACGACGACGACGACGACGACGACGACGACGACGACAAGAACGACGACGAGAACGGCGACGACAAGAACGACGACGGCGACGGCGGCGGCGGCGGCGGCAGCGATGCCGGCGACCGCGGCACCGGCAACGGCGGCGGCGGCGGCGGCGCTGGCGGCGGCGGCGAGGGCGGCGCTGGCAACGGCGGCGACGGCCCTGGGCGCAAGCCTGACGCGCCCTGCCTGGGCCTCCAGCGCACC